AGTCACCACGCGACACAACCAGAAGGCTGAAATCCCACGTAAAAGGAAGACAGGTCGGCGTGCGTTCAGAACAGCAGGAGAGCAACACCGGCCTTCATCCGTATTGTTAGGAATCCTGTATGGCAATGACGTATGAGCAGTGAGAACGGGAAAGTATATCGGTTCTCTGTTATTGGAAAACCCACGTGAAGAAGAATATAAAAAGTCTTACTCTACCACTGTAAGTACAGTAATCAAACAACAAACTGGCTTGAAAATGTCCTCGTAGAAAACAGACGAGCAAAGTGACACTAGCTAGACAGAAATTTCCTTCACAATTCATCGATAATGGCGCAAATCATCGAGCGATACCCGTCAGATCATAAGAGGTAATCGATGGCCCTCAAAATACATTACCTACATTATGGCAAAGGCAGTTCCACCCAAGAAAAGAATGGAGATCATGCTGTGAGGGCGCGATCTATCTGACTGTTAAATACTTTATCGATCAGGTTAAACCAGCTGAACAACTGTGATAAGTCATATTCGTTGTTTATAGACAAATCTATCGCTCAATATGTTCCTGGATCTATAATATTCACTAACCCTTATGCAATCAGTGAAAGATTAACGTTTAAGAAAAATCTTGAACGGATTCTACCGTAGACTCTGACCTTTAAGTCAAAGCAGGCCATTCGTGTGTTTTTCTCATTGTTTTTCTTATGCCAATGGCCTTCAGCACAATCATTCTCGACTCAGCTATACCACCACATCCTGAGAATGTACTACAGTACAAACTAGTTTCATTATTTTCCGGGCAGATACACGTTTTTAGACTACATATCAAGAATACAGCTGCTTTTGGCATAGTGAAACCGCTTCCGTCTTACTGGTCAACTTCTTCAATTTTATTTGGTTTCCTGACATCCTCTGAAGCCGACGCAATACTTCGGTTCATATGTATCTCATAGCCATCGTCTCCAGTCGAATTACATGCAACGCAATCTAAGTCGCTGGCCTCTCAGATAATTATACGACTCCGTAAATTGTTTGAATCTTTCGTTACGATCAGAGACGAGTACTGTTATGACTGTTTATATCTTTGAACTGATTCAAATTCATACGTTACCACCATAACGGATCAATATGCTAGTTCGCTGAATGCGAGGTGGTTGTGGACTTATTCACCAGCGTGTCAGCGTGTTCCAGGTTAGTAAGAAGAACTACTGGCTGACTAACTTGAACTGCCCTGAAATCGGAATAACGGAGACAACTAATCGCGTATAACCTATCTATGTAGTCACAAGAAACCAGCATAGTTTATCATTCTTCTCACTTTACTCAGTGCAAATGGTTTCGGAGCAAACAATCAAACACTAACTGACCCAATAAATAATTCGTCAGGTTTCTGATCCTGAGCCCAGAGTCATATACACGGTTGCTTGAATGATTCATGGTTCGGGGCACCAAATGCAGCAGATGGTAAACAGCTTACCGTCAACGCGTTTCTCTGCACAGACCGCAGCAGTCTACAATGTTGTCTGAGAAGTTCAAGGCAGAGACTGACAAGGTGTACGTTGGAAAAACCAACCGGGAATTGAATAAAAGAGCACCTTGCTGCGGTCTGCCTTGGGCAGGCTAACAATTCCGGTATTCCAGCATGTGATTACTGAAGAGCATTCTTTCAGTCAGACCAAGGTGTCTGCCACAGACAAGGACCAATCTAAATTAGGTTAGCTGGTAAAGGAGTCCTTGATGACACTGGCAATGAAAAACCGCATGTGCAACGAATACATAACTTTCGTTGTCACCAGTGAAAGCTGGGGTGCAGTCACAAAACATAAGAAAAATCCGGTCAAAATGATCAAGATCCGATTTACTTTGATGCGAACATCATATTTCGTTCAGACAGTGTAACAACGTCGTGAGTGTATGTGAAGAGCCGGTTGAAAAATTGGCACTGTTCGCCTGTTGGACAAATAAATGACTTCAAGCAGTCATTTGTACTCAGTTCAGCCCTGATGATAAAGCAGTCTGTGCAGTGAAACTCGATGACATTAAATGGTGTACCGTCTGCTGTGTTTGGTGCTCTGAACCATGAATCATTCAAACAACCATGTATACTAACTGACCAAACAGTTTCTGTTTTTACTTCGGGTTCATTCCCGGGTGATGACCGATGTCAGTTCAATCGAAACGGAATTTTTGTATTTAATAAAATTATCTTTTTTGTTTCTCGTGCTATCAACCAAGGAACCACGTTTATGGTTTACTTGACGTTTATTGCTGTTTCGCACATTAAACTAGACTCCACCTTTGTACGGTAATTTTCTGAAAGGGAAGTGTGCTGTCTTGAATGAATTATTTGGGGGAGGAGGTGGGCACCTTTTCATTAGCCTTGGCTTAGAGCAAGACCTTTATAAAGAACAGTGGGCTCGAAAAACGCCTGAAAATCTACCGTCAGAGCCGTCGCCCACCTTACCAGCCGTTGGTTCATGTGACAGCTGTTCCGAAACCGAATCGTTTCCTCAGATACAGCGTGAAAACGTCATTTTCTCATCATTTTATGACAAGCGAAACCACCGCTTCTAACGTGGCTTTTTCTGCCAATAAAAGCCAAGGCAGTTCGCAAGAAAAGCACTTCAAACATCACGACCATGCTCCCGAGGACGTGTATCCCACACTTCGGCTTAGCAAGGATCACTGTAACTGTTAACGGATGTGATATACACAATTTGGTGCAACTCTGCCCGAGTTTAGTCCTGTGGAAGAAACGATATGCATTTATTTCCAGATCTGGATGTCATGTGTACAGCGTGAGGAATACCTCCTTGATCGCGTGTGACGAGTCTTCGTCTAACTTCTCAAGCCACTGTGTTTACATTACAATTTGTGCTCAAGTTCAGTTTATGCACACTTACACCATTAGATCCTCTTCTAATAACAGCTATGCAGGTTGAAACTGGTCGCTACCAATTAAGGTGAGATATCCAACAAAGGGAAGAAGGGCGGAAGAAAATACACAAAGTCTGATGTGAAATTTTGATATGCATTATTGCAGATCTGCCTAATAATTCAAATTTTCAGACACTCTCTGATTTGGTACTGAACAGTTTAAGCTGTTAACTGTGAACATCTCTCTAGAAGCAACAGGCATAAAAAACACTGGTAAAAACCGGATTATTAGACCTCCTAAAACTCCCTATCTAAGGGACACCTTCTACCCTTAAAGTCTTCGCTATCGATTTATGTGACAAAAGCTATGAGGAAATATTCGAGTTCTTCCTTAACGCCTGAAGTCAAAAGTTATGACGAATAAATCTGGCACAGCTTATCTACAGGTGGAACAGTGAGGCGAAACCCCTCAGAAAGTCAATAATTTAAATATCTAGGCACCATAATCTCCAGCGATGGAACAGTACAATCAGAATTAAAGAAGACCGCACTGGCCTTGAATGCTTTTCGAAACCTGTTCAATATTTGGGCTGAGAAAAGAGCATCACTTTGATTCGCCTGTGCCTTACCTCCATCACATGAGCATTGTTGTACTGTTGATTGTATAGAAACAGTTGATTTAAGAAATGAGCAAGAATGGTGACTGAACTGCTTGCAGCAGCGTTGGTTTCGACGCATAATAAGGGTAAATAGCAAAACTGCGGAATTCTCTTCCAGGCACGGGTAACCTCGTTAGATGAGGCGGTAATTCAGTTAAATAATCTGTTCGAGCATA